ATATAGTTTTAGTTTAGCTATAAACCCGAGCCCGCCTCGAACCCGAAGCTATTCATTAAACATTAACCCGAACCCGACCCGAAACCCGAAAGTATTTCGGGACCCGTCGGGCTCGGGTCGGGTAGCAGTTCCAAAAAAATCGAAAATCGGAATCGGCCAAGACAATTGCAATCGGTGCATCTCTAATAATTTTCATTATAATAAAGTATAAAATAATGCAATGCTGATCGACATAACCTTTATCACTGCTTAGAATACTATGAAATATGTTGCGTGCCTTATTCTATGTAAAAAGCCACATCATCTCACAGAAGATTTATTTGAAACGCTCGACTGACGTGAGAGTGGAGTAAAAATTTTATAAAATTTGGCATTTTCATGTGCTTTCAGATGGATCAGCATTTACTACACAGAGCCGTAGTTCACTGACAAGCTACGCAAACTGCTTTCATAATCGCAGAACGATTTCTTCGCGATTAAATCGGTCTGCGATTATGAAAGCAGTTTTGCGTAGCTTGTCAGTGAATTACGGCTCTGTGTAGTAAATGCTGCTCCATCTGAAAGCACGTGATGGAGATTTACAATTGATCACAGACCCGGCTTTACTGACAAGATGCACATGACAATTGCATTCGATTAATCGTGCAGCCCTAAGACTACTAGAGATTACAATACAAAATATGACAAAAAAATATATATATATATTTACTGGAGATCAGATGCCAATTTATATAAACCTTCTATATACACTCTTAACATCAGATAAACTACTTTATTTGTCAAAATGTGCAGTACACAAGGACACCATGTGGGATATTGCATTAATATTGCAACGTGTTCTATATGACCTTCCATTTCACAGGGTTTCTATATATATATATGTGTGTGTGTGTGTGTGTGTATATACATCTAGTTTCTGCAGGATTTTTAAGCTCAAATTTAAGACTTTAAAGACCTTTTTTTAAGACTTGCACAAATAAAATTAATACCATATGAAAAGGGTAGGGCAATGTCTATAGTAATCGTAAGGTTATGCCCTTCTCGTTTTACACTTCATGCATGTGGACTGAATATTAAACAAGTTAGTAATGATAACATAATGTGTACCATGCTGATTTGTACAGAGGCTCCGTAGATTTGCACTTACTAAGCCTAAACAGACAGTGAATGAGAGAGA